ACCCTAACCCTAACCCTCATGAGATGTCACTCATGACGTAAACAATGCCGCCATTTTTCCCCAAATGTCATCACCTCATTTTCAATGGAATTATTCATTAACAAAATAAAAAAAATGTTTAGTAAGATAAGCACCAAATTACCCACACATCGCCCCCCGCACCACACCAAAAACACCGTCCCGCAAGCCCACACCCGATGCCAAGCGCCACCAGTCTCCCACGCACCACCCCGCAGCGTGGGGCACCAGCAGGGCGGGCACCGCCATTTCTACCGGAAATACGTCACGGCAGCCATCTTAATCTCGTATCACCTCTGCACATGCACGCCACCATATTTTCCCAGAACCAACCCGCGCAGCGGTCCCAAAACGCTGCGCCACGCCGCACGCTGCCGCCAAAGCATGCCGCCAAAGCGCAGTGCTGCATTCTGGCACCACAGTAACGGGAGCTGCCATATTTTTCCGGAAGTTTCTGGGCACCACCATATTTTAACAAAAGTTTATGGGCACCACCATACTCCTCCAGAAATTTAAGGGCGCCACCATATTTTTCTGGAAGTTTAGGGCACTGCCATATTTTAACAAAAGTTTATGGGCGCCACCAAATTTTTCCAGAAATACATGGGTGTCGCCATATTTATCCGGAAATACATGGGCACTGCCATAATTCCCCAGGAGTTCATAGGCGTCACCATATTGTTCTGGAAATACGTCACCGGTGTGGCTGCAGATATTTTACCACCTAACAACCCCGGCACTGCCATTCTGTGCCTGAATAACCCCAATTATACATTTATAATGTATAAAATTATAATTATACACAATTATACTCCACAATTATACTCCCCCAAACACACCAAACCACCACGCCACACACTGCCGCCCCGCCGCCAATAACGAGCACTGCCATATTTCTCCCAAAGTGCATCACGCCACGGGCACCACCATCTTCTTCCAGAAACACACACCCACTCAACGCTGCCATTTTCCTCCCAAATCGCGTCACACACATCCACGCGGCACATCGCCACGCAGCGCGCCACCAAAAGCGCCCAGTGACACGACATGGGCACCGCCATATTGTTCCGGAAGTACATCATGGCCGCCATATTGGACCAAATCACCTGACCACATGGGCACCGCCACGTTGTCTACACAAGCACATCACCACTGGGTGCCGCCATCTTGAGGTAGGGTTAGGGTTAGCGTTTTAGGGTTAGGGTTAGGTTTATGGTTAGGGTTACTGCCTACTAAGACACTAAGGGTAGACACGAAGGGCACTAGGTTAACATTAGTGCCATGTTAAGAGAACAGCAGCCAAACACAGAACCACAGAACCATGGGACCTAGACGCAGCAATTGCTATCCACAGTAAGAAAAATGTCATACTATGCAACACTTATAGTCACACTCAGGTATTAAAAGACACAGATGTTACTACTAAGCCATTTTCATGCAGACCTGCAAAATTCCTGATATTCTGTGAACACTGTAAAATGCTCGCTGGCATCTGCTATGAGGCAATTCAGCCTGCTCTGAATGAATAAACTGAAGCTGTTTCAAAAGACAAGATTTGCTCACTGTCTCCATAATTTGTGCATCTGCAGATTATGCAGTTCTTCTATGACAGTGATCCAACAGTCGCAAAAAACCCATGGAGGTAAACCAAAAAGAATGAGGTTGAGGAGCTAAAGCAGTACTGCATGCAAGTTACCTGTCATTTATAATGAAGCACAGGCGGCTAGGAGAGGAATGATAGGCCACAAAGTCTAAAATTGAAACCACAAAGTGATGTTCTGGAGGAATGAAGATGAAGGCAGGAAAACAAAAAGAAAGTAACTGGAAAGCATTTGCATTTAAAGCCAGAATGTTTGGAAGCAGAATCATCTGTTGTAAATTTTAATTGAAGTTGTTCCTTATATACGAAAGTTTCTCTACACAGAAAAGTAACATGCCGGTAAACTAGAACTTGTCCTCCAACTCACAGGGCAAGGCCAGTACAGCCCCCCGAATAACCCATTTGTTATTATTATTCATTTTATACTAACCTAATCTAGGAGGGAATTAAACAAAGCGAGAAAGCCACCCGATTCTGGAATTAAAAGAACCCCACTGGGACTCAGTTTGGTGTGCCAATTTACTATTCCAGTTAAATGGTCATCCTGTTTAAGAAACAGCAAGACTGACACAAATGTAACTGTCCTGTGACCCATTAATGACAGCAATATTATTGTCTATTGTTGCTAATGGCAAGTACAGTACTGGTCTGATGGACAGGCATGTTTTCTGCACCACAGCAATAGCCAGCTTTATTATCCAATAGCACATTAGAATTAAAGCTAACATTTTTAATATTTGCTTGGTGCCATACAGTGGTAACCACATTAGGAAAGGAAGTACATCTCATTTAAGGCAGGTTGTGATCACTGGTTAATTATTATAACTTCAGGACTGACATCGTGCTTGGCACTACAGAAAGCAAAAATTAGCTTTAGAGCTTCTGCAGTGAGAAATGCAGACTAAAAGATGAAAATGCTGGGGAGAGAGGGCAAGCAATAAGAAGGGCCAAACGTCTTGTAAGGGCACAGCTTCTAGGCCAGCCCCTACTTTGGTGCTTGCTTTTCCATCTTCATGGAGCTACTGTCTGCACACTTCAAAACTAAATAAACTTTCTGTTACGGTTGTACCCAAACATGGTTTTTAAGCTGGACTAAGATGTACCACTAACTCTGGATGAAAAGCAAATAACCCAGTAACTAATTGTACTTTGCAATTACACTACTTCTCAAAATGCTAATGTTAATAAGCAAACAACAAAATACAATGTCATGCTCTTCAACAGAGAGAGAAATGGAGGCAAGAGCAGTGGTGGTCAAGGAAGAAGTTGTGAGGGAAACTCAACAGTCTTTCTGAAAGTAAGTCCATTTTTTATAGGAGACCATGGTTCACTGCAAAGATAACAAAGGCCAAGTTTTGCTTTTATAAAGCAGAGAGATTTCAAGGAACTGTCAAATGAAGCTGTCAAACCTCACATCCACTATTGGCTCAGTAGGAAAGGCAACACAAGAAATATGAGGGGAGAAAAAAGACCCAGTAAAGTTGTCTTCAGAAACAGGAGTTCTGAATAATATATTGCCTGATTCCTGGGAGAGCATATGATCATTTATTTTCTGAACGTGGCCAAAACAATCTTTTTTCAAATGGAAAGACATCTGAGACAATTATATGTTATCATACATGGTCTGATATTTTCCAGTGATTTCAGTAGTTAAATGTCAGTAGAGGGCTCAGAGCCAGAATCAAGGAAAGGTAAAAACAACAATGTGTCAAATTGCCCTGCTGCTGTACAGACACAGACAGGTAACTATGGCCATTTGAGAACACAGGGGAAGAAAATGTCCCCAAATGGGAGGACAGCTAGAACAGAGAGATTTATTCTTTTTCTTTTGGGGATTTTACAACTATTTTCAGTTGCAGTGGGTTAACCCTGGCCAGCAGGTAAGCACCCATCTGGCTACTCACTCATGCCTTCGTTTCTTTACCAGCATGATGGGGCAGAGAACAGGAAGAAAAAAGCAAGAAAACCTGTGAGTTGAGACAGTTTAATAACTGAAGAGGAAAAAAAAAATCAAACAAAAATGTAACCAATCTATGCAAAGGCAGTAACTCATCACCTCCCACAAACAGACCAATTCTCAGGTATTCTCTGAGCAACCACAAACCTGGAAGACACCCCTCTCTCCCTTTCTTCCTCTACCACCACTTTCACTGCTGTGTTTGATGCTGCATGGTACAGGATATCCCCTTGGCCAATTTAGTTTGGCTGTCCCTGCAGTGACCCCCCACTAACTTCTTGCCCCTCTACTGGGGAAAGTAGCTGCAGAGAAGGAAATAAGGGAAAGTTCAGCTATAGTCAAAATTTTGATATTGGAGCCACTATTGGAGCCACAACCACAGTACCATAGGGGCTGTTAAGAAGACAGTTAATCCATACATGCAAAATAATAACAGGGGTCATTTAAAGAGGCTGAAAAAGATTTTAAAGCTGGAATATTTTGGTGTGATATGAATTATTTCCTTCTGCAAATTGCTCAGTCATACTCTGGGAAGCTGAAACTGTCACAGAAATTAGGCAGAACAAATGGTAAACTAATTTAGAAAAAATATTTTATTCATAAAATGACTCAACATTGGTGCATAGACAAAATATCTTGGAGCTAGATAATTTAGTCCCTGAATACAAAAGTCAGAATAATTTTGTTCATCCTTCAATACTGAAAACTAAAATAATAACAGAAAAATTATATCCAGAGTGGGTGCTGTGAGACCTCAGCTCCTTGTCTTTGGATGTGTAAAAGAGAGGAGTCCAACACTTTGCAGGCTCACTTAATGAGTAAACGGCATGTTATCTTTCCTTGAAATAATAATAATAATTATTCCAAATAACCATAAAATCTTTATTCTCCAAAACATTATCATTTTTTTTTTAAATCTACATATGGTGTAGGAATGCAGAAACTGTCTTCCTTCACTCTCAATCAGAGAGGTAAACTCTTTGCACACTTCAAAACTAAACAAACTTTCTGTTACATTAACAAACCTTAATGCAGAAACAATAAACATGATAAACACTTAAGTTTTACAAAAAAACAGATTTTATGTTTTAAAGTTGGGCCTCTAACTTCACCAGAACAAAGAAAGGTAAAGAACTCACATTAGTATCCATGACATTTAAAAATATTTGCTACCAGCTGTGAACTTCTCTAAGGATATATACATTGCTATGAAACACTGGTAAAGGTAGTACAAGATACACAGGGAATTTCCTTATGGCAGTGAAGTACCTTTGGTATCATAATAGTCATCCCAGCTGGATGTCATAGGACTGACAGGTAAGTCACTCTTAGAATGACATCTAAGAATGCATTGGGTACAAAAGACAGCTCTATCTTTGGTTTTGAAACACAGTCAGATATGAAGAATACACCCACCCACCCCACCCCACCCCATTTTCTTTTGTATTTCCTGGGGATTTTCTTCTAGAAGCTCCACCACTGGAAGTTAACTGTACACATTTCTGCTGAAAATAAATCTAACAATAGTTTTCAACACAGGTTCTTCACATCTTCAAAAAGGCAACCTATAAAAGGAACCAAAAATGATACTGTGATTAGTTTCAACATTGCAGGTAAACCAAAGATGCTTCTTTGTATCAACAGAAATTATATATTATAATAATATTTTTACTTAATAACACACAAATGCAATGAGAAAACAGAGGCTGTATTTGTTATTTTCCACCTCTTCTCTACCTAACATGTCTTCTAAAAATTCCCAAACTTTCTTTTTTCACTCAAGCACTGCCTGTGCTGCAGAACTGAAACTTTTTTGTCCCCAGGATAACAAAGAATGTTTATCTCATCTAACTTAAAAGGCTATTTTATAGTATTTTGAAACTAGCTTAGATTAAACCTTTGATACATTCCCTGTTTTGTCCGAATATTAGAATAGTGCTGTCACTGTAAGTCAAATCTTGATTCCAAAGTCATGATGAAAAGTCCAAAGTCATAAAGAAAAATGCCTTACATTTTGAAATAACCAGGAACCAAAATCTTACCCGGGGGCAGAAGACAAATACTTGTGTATGATCAGAAGATAGCAAATGATGTACCTTTTCTCTTTAGTGCACTAAGTGAACTGTCTAACAGCTATTTACAGGGAAGGTGATCTATCAAATACCAGAGACCTATAGGATTTCTGCTGTCCCAAACTCATTTTTCTTGGTTGCATGCATGCAGCAGTTTGTCCTGTATGGTTTTGGTTTTGTTTAGCCTTCTTCAGGATCTGCAGGATACTAACACAGAAAGTTAAGTTAGCTGATTGGAAATGACACGTCCAGATTCTTATCTGCCAAGGAGATTGCTTCACATATTTTCTGCTGATCACAAAGACAGAAAAACAGATGTACAGATGCCTTCACAAAAACACAAGAAGAAAAAAACTTACACAGAAAGAAGAAAAAAAGGTTACACAACTGTCTTCTGAAAAGATACAACCTGTTTCTCCTGTCTTATGAAAAACATACAAGGAAAGAACTTCTGAGACAGACACTTCCTCATTGTTCTCTGCAAGACCTTTCAACAGTCACTTAAGTGAGGATTAGAATAACCATCAATTACAGCTTTGGATTTTCAGAGCTGACCCTCAATTAAACACTCTGCTCAATGCTGTGACTAAAGAACTCATGAACCATGATCAACCAGAAGGAACTGAATGCAAGCACAAAATATCACTGAGTATTCAGAACAGAAGATAAAATCAAGTTAAAACACTCCTTTTGGATCCCATGCCCAAAGCATGTTTAAGAGAGAGTTATATGTCTGCTATAAAGGATGCAAAAAAAAGGAAGCAATTTTTAAAATATCTGAGATGGTTCTCAGGGAATCAGTCCCACAAAGGATTCAAGTCTAAATAACACAGCTACAAGGCATAAATGGGACATGATAACAATTCTTAGATAAGAATAGAAAACAAATCATGCACACTCTCTTCCTGAACACTCCTTTGCTGCTCCAAGACTAACAGCAATAACCCAGTAGAAAACTGCAGTTACTGCATAAAAGAGTTTGCACAGACAACAGAACTGAGATCCCTGAAAGCTTCCATGTTTCCAAATCATTCTTTTCTTCTTCCAAACTGGAATTCAGAAACAAAAATTTTCATGTCCTATATTAAACATAAGGAAGAAATTCTTTATTTTAAGGACAGCGAGGCACTGTCAGAGGCTGCCCAGAGAAGTTGTGGATGCCCCATCCCTGGAAGTGTTCAAGGCCAGGCTGGATGGGGCTTTGAGAAATCTGGTCTAGTGGGAGCTGTCCCTGCCTGTGGTGGGAGACTGTAACAAGATGATCTCTAAGGTCCCTTCCAACCCAAACCATTCTATGACTCTATGATTTGAAGAACATACATTTTCAGAAATGTCTATAGGTGAACCTTGCCAGCAAGCAGCTGGCTGGCCAGGGTGGAAGCTGGCCTGCTTTCCCATGCAAATCTCATCACACTGACACATTCCCATAGAGTTGTTTTTTTTCCAGCTCCATCAGCATTTTCCAGCAGTAAGCTGCTACATCAAAATAATTTCTGTCAGCTGAACCAAGGGGTGTTGTAAAAGCCAGAGACTACTCATCATACAGGGAAATTTATCCGCTGTGCCAAAGACTCCCACCCTCAAAGACAAAATTTGAAAGCAAAATCAATATGCTTGTCACCTTTCTCAAGATTTAGTTGCTTGGATGAATAGAGACATTTACATAATTATAAGCAAACATAAAATCTTACCTCTGTGGAAGAGCCATAAGTTGTACAGGCTAGGGATGGAACCCTGGCACCAGTCAAATCAAAGACAAAATTCACATTGACTTTAACAATGTGGGAGATTTGTCCTTGCATTGCAAGGAAAAAAATAGAAAAATCAAGAAAAGCAATAACTATCTCAATACACAAGACTCAAAATTTTAAGCAAATTTTTCTACCTGAGATTTCAGACTCCTTTGCTACACAGTTTTGAAGTGCCATTAGAGTGGATATATTTGTTTAATTTGACTGCTTGCTATATTTTATAATGCACAAAATACAGTTTTCTTCTCCTTTGAGAGAGTTATTTGCAACATAATGCCTCCTTAGGCTGCTAGGCTCTCCTACTGGCCAATAAACTGAAAAGCAACAGAAGTAATAATTTATCACTGTCTGTGTTTATATTTACTACCAATGTGAATGAAAAGAGCACATTAGATCATCCCTACAGCTGACATACCAGCAAAAAAAATGCAAATCAAGCTGTTTAAAAAACACCTGCAACCCATGAAAATACTTGAGAAGAAAATCAACTGAAACTAAACCACTTATGAAGTTTCACCTAATCCATCCAAAGTTCAATGTGAAGCATATAAAGTTTTCCTTTATTATACCGTTACTGTAGATGCAATTGGATATCTAAACAGCAGTAAACTATATGTTCTACATAATAAATGAATTACTATAGGTTGGGAAAATGGGACAACGTGGTTCTACCCCAGTTTTCCATCTATTAGGATACTTTCTCTACAAGACAGACAACTACTAGCTTCTTCCAGCTTTAGTAGCAATGCTTTAAGCAAAGTCTGCATATCCAGTATTTCACTGCTATGAGTGCATTTTGAAAGAAAAATAATGCACCAAACAGTTATCTCATCTACAAAGGTTTATTACTAAATTCAGAATAAAAGTCAGTTCTCTAATCAGTTTTTTATTGACCTTACCTCAGCACGTTGTCCCCTTCTTAAAGCACTCACGATAGTATTAATTCACTCTCAAGAACAATTTATGTACTCTACCATCCATACTTCTATGACAGGAGACATTGTTTTCTTCCTTTCCTCTCAATTATTTCTGAAGATTAATCTTACTCTGTCACAGAGTATCAAGTCCATCTCAGCCCTCTATCCCATTAATTTCCACAGAGCCAGAAGGTGCCAAGACCTCTGGATAATGAACAAACATCAACTCCACATTTTCAAGTATTTTAAGAGATCAATACAGAGGGAGCACCAGAGCACCACAGACATATGAACGATAGATATATCTTACAAAATCACTCTTTTGGTAAACAATAAAGCAGCATCAACTTTATTAAAATCTCTTGAAGTCAGGACAAGTTAAGAAATCCAGATAGTGATGTTCAATTTTAGAACATGTGCTCTCCTGGCTTTCTCAGGAAAATCATAGAATGGTTTGGGGTGGAAGAGACCATGAAGATTATCTAGCACAAATTCCACTTGCCGTGAGCAACCTGGTCAAGTGAAATATGTCCAAACACAGAAATATGTAAAAAGTGAAAGAAAACAGGTGCAACTTCTGAAAATATTTTTAAAACTATGAGATGTAAGGAATTTAGAGATAAAAGAAGGTGGTTCCAGGTGGCTGAAGCTGGTAAAAAGAAATCTCTTCTACCAAGTGCTAACACTAGGTGAGCTGGCAGAGTGGATGACTGCTATAAGAGAAGCAGGAGAGTGATAGAAGCAGCTAAACAACATATTTTAAAGAAATGCAATCTGCAAATCAGCTAAGCAAGGAAAAAGCAGATCAATCTTTGAATCACCTGCAAGAACCAGAACAGGAGCCAGATCCTTACTTCCACAAAACAGGAAATAATGTTCCAAAAGTCCCATGTTGTAACACAAGCTTTGAAACTGTTCTTATGTCCTTTTCTTTTAAGAAGTCCAAGTGAATGGTGCATAAAAATCCCTATGAATGTCTCTCAAAGGTGACAATGAAGGATTTTTAATATCTGTGTCTCTCCTAAGAGCTAAACAAAAGATACAGAATTTCTTTTCAGTTTTAGAGAGGGAATTGTAGTTCTGTTTACTCCTGCATAATTATAAAGGAAAATAGTGGGTTGAAAGTAGTTATGTATGCTTCAGTTTTAGCAGAAGAAATTAAATCTCTGAATGCTTCCTGAAATATGACTGCTGTGGTTTTTTCCACTGCACAACAAGGAAGAGAACACCACTCAGCTCAAACCTGAAGCTTAAACATGTTAAAGACATTTTACTGTTGTCTTCTTTGAACATTAGACCAATTTTTAAACACTACCACACACAGTTCATAATGTTTCATTGTGTTTTAGAAGAACACAACTTACATCTTAAATTATATCTACTGCAACAGACAGTCTGTACATAGACAGATACCCACATTTTAATCCTGCACATGTGCTAGTGTGAAATCAGGCGTGATGAAACGACTGCAGAGGAAACGTTGATTACACACCAGCAAGGCTACAGCCTACAATCAACATCAAATACTGTATTTATTTCCACTCAAGGCTGACAGGTAATCAAGCAATGCCATGCCATCCATGTGCACAGGAAGAGAATAACCTTCCCAAAAAGACAAGGACAGCTGTGGGCAGACCTCTGCTCCTAGATCCAGCTGTGCGAGATACTAATCTCACAGGCTCGTGGTGTCTCTGCTGCAAGTTACCAGGCCCCTCTCCCCACAAAAGACCACTTGAGAGTTTCTCCTAGTGTCTGGTGAAATCAGACTGATACACCAAATTCTACCCTCTGGTCTGCACTAAATGGATGGGTTTATTCTAGAAAA